CGGAGGGTCAGTGCTGAGGGAGTGCCGCACTGTCGGAGGGTCAGTGCCGAGGGAGTGCCGCACTGTCGGAGGGTCAGTGCTGAGGGAGTGCTGCTGTGTTGGAAGTGTGTATGGCTGGTTGCTGACCTCTCTCCAGGATATTTGTGGTTGTTCAAGATGGTTTTATACTCACTCTCTGCGTGAGGCACTGTCTCCAGAACCTCCAGAATCAGCTTGTTCTCGTTCAAGCGGAGCGACATCATGATGGCAGCTGTAAACTCCTTCTGACGCAGAACACGTCTCACGCTGCTTGGGGTGATCTCCTCATCCAGATCGAAGGGGTCAAACACCATACAACCATCCAGCGAGTAAATGAGCAGACCCTCTGTGCTGGTCGCTGCCCAGCTCCTGCCTGGTCAGAGAAGAGACAGATTTACTCTCATGACTTAAATCTTATGATGTCCTGTCCTGGGAGTGTTTGATGAGGGTCACTGTAGAAGGAGCTTTACTCTGTATCTAACCCCATGCTGCCAGAGTGGATATGCTGGAACACTGTCCGTATTACCCCTGTTATATTCCCAGCAGTTACTCAGTTCACTCCTGGAAATGAAAGATGGAACAGATGTGTCTATTCACAGATGTTTTCTCAATGTAATTTATATACTTCTAATTTTTTTTTCCTATGTCATATCTTCAAATACCTTTAAGCAGACCCCTGGGACTTCATACTGCAGCTTCTAGAAGAAATATGTTCCACATCCTATTGTTTTTCGACCCTGATTTTGCTCTTAATCTCTCATGGCAGTATCCTCTGATATCAGAATAGCTTCATTCAGTTCAGCACAGTCAAATGCAGTTTGCAGGGGTGCACAGTCAGAAAGGCAGGTTCAGATACTGTGTTTCAGGCACAAGTGTAAGGACAGGCCAGGTTAAAGATGAGGGAATTGAGCAGACTGCAGTTAGTCAGTGAAAAGGTGATGTGAGGGAGGACCTGGCTCATGCCACTAACCTTTTCATTGTTTTGATGATATGAGGAACAACAGAGTTAGGCAGAAGATGTAGCTTAACATTTAGAAGCAAAATAAACCAGTTTACAATTGGCCACACCTTCTGACAGTGACAGGACCATTACGAGGGATGAACATGCTGCTCAGAAATGTCAGTCTTACACCCACCCCAGCCCCAGCAATGACTGAGCATTTACAATAAGCTGACCCTAAGCAATATGGGACCAGTTACTGGGAGACCAGAAAGATGACAGGTCTATAACAGGCACAAAGCCAGTGTGCAGGAAGTGGTGTGCCCCTATCAGACAGTACAAATTGTTTTCACACCTCGTACCTGTCGGTGAGAAACAAAGGCAAGTCACTCGGATCTCCGGCTTAAAGTGTCGGGAGCTCATGTCACCTACAGAGCAGAGAGAAAGGAGAGTGTTAGTCCGAATCTACAACAGCCATCAGTCAGTGTTAAAACACTGCACACTTATAATTAAACTACATTCAACACAGGCACATCACCAAAAGCACAAGCCTTGAGAGATCATAGAATCCCCTACAGTGTGGAAGCAGGCCATTCAGCCCATCGATTACACACCAACCCTCTGAAGAGCATCTCACTCAGAAACACCCCCCTACCCTATCCCTGTAACCATTTCCCATGGAGGTTCTGGAGACAGTGCCTCATGCAGAGACTGAGTATAAAACAATCTCCAACGAAGGCAAATACCCTGCAGAGGAGTCAGCAACCAGTCACACTCACTTGGTGGGTACATCCCTGAACACTAGGGGCAATTTAGCACGGCCAATCCACCCTAACCTGCACATCTTTGGACTGTGGGAGGAAACCGGAGCACCCAGAGGAAACCCACGCAGACACAGGGAGAATGTGCAAACTCCACACAGACAGTCGCCCGAGGGTGGAATCGAACCCGGGTCCCTGGCGCTGTGAGGCAGCAGTGCTAACCACTGAACCACTGTGCTGCCCATAATCACAGATCACAGCCATTACCCAGCTCCGTATTGGGGAGAACTTGGGCAGATAAGAGAAGTCAAGGTAAGTCTTATGGAGAGGCAATGGCCTAGTGGTATTATCACTGGACTGTTAATCCAGAGACCCAGATAATGTTCTGGGGACCTGGCTTCAAATCCCACCGCAGCAGATGGTGGAATGTTAAATTCAATAAAATATCTGGAATTAAGAACCTAATGATGACCGTGAATCCATTATCGATGGTTGGAAAAAGCCATTTGGTTCACTCATGTCCTTTGGGAAGGAAACTGCCATCTTTACCTGGTCTGGACTACATGTGAGTCCAGACCTACAGCAATGTGGTTGACTCTTAACTGCCCTCTGGGCAATTAGGGATGGACAATAAATGCTGTCTGGCCAGTGACATCCTCATCCCGTGAATGAATAAAGAAAAAAAAATTCAGATGAGGATTATACAGAAGACATGGGAAACTGAACCCTGAAATGACAGCTGACGGCTCTCTCCTCCCGGTGACTGTGCTAAAATGACTGTACTATGGCAATCTCTCTGAACCACACTCTATAAAAAGGAAATTAAAGTTACAAGCCCCTACGTGACTCCCTCCCCCATTTTCCCTTCTCAGGTACTTCAGATTAAAAGCCTACATGAATTCAAAGCAGAAGTAGGCTCTTGGCTTCCCAGTTCCAAAAAGGGGGCACAGGACTCAAAACATTAACTTTGCTTTTCTCTCTCCCCAGATGCTGCCAGAGCTGCTGAGTTTCACCAGCAATTTCTGTTATAAAACAGAATAAAACAGAAGAGGCAGTCAGCTGTGAGGGTTCACTGCTCTTTGTTTTCCCCACTTCCCACGTGGTATCTATTCTCCCTCACATCTTTCCATTAAAAAGTACCGTTGTTTTGATCTTTTTTCTTCCCAAAGTTCCAAAACATTGCAACAGCAATCACTGCTCAAAGAAATCAGCTTCAACACTGAAAAAAATCTCAGAAAAGGAGCAGCTCTTACAGCCACAATTTTCTCCCGTCCTCCATCTTGGATTACCTAAATTAATTAAGTTTTTTGAAGAAGTTACAAAGAGGATTGATGAAGACAAAGCTGTGGATGTGATCTATAAGGACTTCAGGAAGGTGTTCAACAGGTTCCTCATGGTAGACTGGTTAGCAAGGTTAGATCACATGGAATAAAGGGAGAACTGATTTTTAACCTGTGACCCCTGCTGGTTTACAATTCCTCACGAGAGGGAGTATGCTCTCTCTATCTACCCTATCAAACCCTTCAATCAGATTAACACTCATTCTTGGAAATTCTAATGGGTTCCAGGTTCAGATTGACCAAATTTTCTTCCTAAGATAACTTCTCCCCGTCCCCTGTTTCCAGTTCCTGTGAATGTTACTGAATGGAGAGCCCTGTTGTTGAAGCACTTCACCTTTCAGTCATCAGGACTAATGCAAGAATGCCAAATTTCACACAACCACAACTATTTACACTACACAGGAACTGGGTGCTGATTGGTTACAGTGTTGCCATGGAGAAAGCATGAGTAGTTCACCAGCAGGGGCAAGGCTTGAACACATGCTTTTTGTTTGCATAGAACAGGTCTCTGTGTTTAAATGTATGTCATGTCTAGCAAGGATCAATCAGACTACTTATATTCTTCACAGTTTATGTTAATTGGTGTAATTCAATTTCATATCTAGAAATATCACAGTTAATGAGTTCAGCTAAGATTTTATTTTTAACCTATTTTTCTAATCAACCTGTTCAGAGATGCTATTACACACCTCTGGAACAGGTGGGACTTGAACCCCAGCCTCCTGGTCCAGAGGTTAGGACACTACCACTGAACCACAAGAGGTATTCAACTAGGATTTTAATGCAACACCTTTCTCTCCTCGGCACCTGTTGAAACTATTGCGAAGGTTGAGAGGATAATTTTTTTTTTAAAATTCACCAGTCACATATGCAGCCAACTAGTTAACACTGGGGAAAACTCACTTGTAGGGGCTGGAAAAGATTTAAAACCAGCACCTCCTGCCCCACATTTCCAAGCTAGCACCCACGCCATATTAGACTGAGGCCTCAGTACACACTGTGCTCCCAAATATTTTACCCTTCTTCACTCCTGGCAGACTGATAGCCACTCCATTTTCATCACCAACACCATCATCAATCAAAGCCATACTTCCAAACTCAGTCATCTTCCTTCGATCCAGGAACTCCTGCAAAAGACCCGCAAAGTTGTTAAAACACCCAACAAGTCAATGTTAAAAGGCCATATAGCCCAAACTCTTACAACCCAACTGTCGGTGAGCCACATTAATGTCTGTGAAAGCTGTACCCCAGTGAGAGTCAGTGTGGGGGACCCCGTACCCCAGTGAGAGTCAGTGTGTGTGTGGGGCACCCCGTACCCCAGTGAGGGTCAGTGTGTGTGTGGGACCCCGTACCCCGGTGAGAGTCAGTGTGGGGGACCCCGTACCCCAGTAAGAGTCAGTGTGTGTGTGGGGGACCCCGTACCCCAGTGAGAGTCAGTGTGTGTGTGGGGGACCCCATACCCCAGTGAGAGTCAGTGTGGGGGACCCCGTACCCC